GTGGCAGATTCTTGATAATGCCATTTGAACATAAATTCCATGCTCATTTTATACGGTTATAGCCAACATTAGGTTTGTGTGAGCTCTGTGACACAAACGTATCATCTGTTCTTATCCAAGCAGATTTTTCTGGTCTTAGTGAGGCTACGGAGTCTGCTTGGTGCCATGGGTCAAAAGTTGTAAAAGTCTGTTTACCTTATTTTTCCACCCTATAAGTCACGTTTTATTTGCATAATTTACATGCCCTGTGACTTATACACCGAAGCGACGTATTTATGGATTTTTCCCATATTTATAAATCAATTTTTGGCTGAGATATGACCGCTTTCATTCATTCTGACTGAAAATATTGAACACTAACATTTTCAGCTGCTAGATGGCACTCGAGGAGTATGGCATGCCGTTGGGTCATGTAATAGGTAAAAGCAGCTATCCATCCATTATCTTTTACCCGCTTCTTCCATTTTGGGTCACGGGGGTCGCCTGTGCCCATGTCCAGCAATCACTGTGCGAGGGGCGGGGTACACCCTGGACGGGTTGCAAGTCCATCACAGGGACACACAGAGACAAACGAGACAAACAACCATTCACTCTCTCACACCTAGGGACGATTTAGAGTTACCAATCAGCCTAACATGCATGTTTTTGGTCTGTGGGAAGAAACCGGAGTACCCAGAGCAAACCCATGCATGCACGGAGAGAACAGGCAAACTCCACCCAGAAAGGCCCCCGGACCTGGGACCTGCTCGCTGAGAGGCAGCAGCTCTACCAGTTGCACTACCGTGCTGCCCGTAAAAGCAGCTATTAATGACACAATTGGCTTGCCATACACTGCCATCTTAGTCCAGCTCGGAGCAACCGTCAAATCAACTTTATTTCACTTCACCGCCCAGGCAAAATGCAGCTGATTTGACCATTAAAGTGCATTTATTAAAGAAAAGTTCAACCGAGATACACCTTTACTATAATATCAAGCAAAAAATAATTGTTTTTAGGTGGTTATCTTGTTAAATTTTGAAGAAATGCACAGCATGTCATCCCTCTGCATTCTCCCGCTTCCGTGAATCGGGTTTTGAAATGCAGCTGATTTGACCATCAAAGTGCATTTATTAACGGGGCGGCTGTGGCTCAGTGGTTAGAGCAGTCGTCCTCCAATGTGAAAATTGGGGGTTCGAATCCACCAGCAGTCACATGCTGAAGTGCCCATGGGCAAGACACCAAACCCCTCATAGCTTCTGATGTGTCCTATCGGTGTATGAATGTGATCTAAAGCTCTGATTAGTCTCTTTAGAATGATTTGTTCAATTAGCTTTGTATAAATCTAGTAGAGTGATGTGTGAATGGGTAAATGAGGACAGATTGTTGTGTAAAGTGCTATGAGGATCTTGAAATAAGATAGAAAGACACTACATAAGTACAGTCCATTTATCATTTACCATTAAGGAAAAGTTCAACAAGACAGTTTTACTATAATTCCAAGCAAACAAACAATTGTTTTAAGTGTTAATATTGTCAAATATTATTATTATTATACAATTGGCAATTTGTATATTATATATACAATATATTGCTTAAATTCGGTCGATACCAATATAATTTGATATCGATATAAACGATATAACAGCCTCAGAAAAACTGTGCAAATAAATTAATGTTCACCTTTTATTTGGATATAGCCTTTAAAAAAAAATTGAAATCACTGTTAAACATAAAACTCTCAACTTTGTCCATTTCTTTTAAATGTATTAATTCATTTAAGAGAAACTAAATAAACAAAACAAATTCATCAAAAAGGGGAAAAAAAAAACATTAGGGTGCAGAAAGAAGAATATCTGCCCCTTATTAAAAATAATAATAATAAAATAACTGCAAACTCAGAATTGAACAATCCCCAAAGCGAAAACAAAAAAACATCATTCTTCACATGGCGCCATACTTTCCCAACTATTTTAACTTAATCATCTTTTTAAACATATAAACTGTTTTAGAAATGTTTATGGTGATATCAAGGCCGTTCCACATCCCTGAATTACAACGCAGCGCTCCTTCATACTAGTTCTAAACGGAGGGTTTACAAACATTTCCATTCCCTTATGATTATAATGACTCTTTTTTTAACAAATTTTAATTGTATATGTAGGGATAATGTTTTTATGAACTTTAAAACATGACTTGTAAAATACTTTATTCAACCAAATCATAACATTTTAATAATTTCAATTGATAAAGGTTGAATGAATGATTGATTAAATATTTTGTTGGATGACCATAGAACTTCCTACTACTAATTCTTAGCTTGTTTGTAAAATCAAAATAGGGTTTGTAATTGTTTCGCATGCTTTCCCCCCATACTTCAATACAATAGATGAAATATGGAGCAATCATTACAGTATACAATATATATAAAGCTTTGTCATTCAAAAACTCTTTTACTTTATTCTGCTATTTTATTCTTAAGTAATTTACATGAGATTTCCATGTCATCTTCTCATCTATTACGACATATATTAATAGTTTTAACTTTGAACACCATAACATAACCCATGCAGCAGATGTTTGCTGTATGTGTTTCTCTTTTGATACTTTATCAAACACAAATATAAATACATAAATATCGTGCTTTGTCTTCTGACTCTCACCATATTTTATCAAGTGGAAACTCTTCGGATGGAACAAGTTAAATGTGTTCCCACCGCTAGTTGGAACGACTCTCCATCACATTTTGCAGCACTCTGACTGAAACCTGCAGTTTATTAGATATTATCAAACGGGAAGGAAGGCGTATTATCCCTCCTGTTACTACAGTGAATGTGGTACTTTGTTATAAGTACGACTATATTTATGGCATCAGAGAAAGCTGAGCTTCAGTTATCCACATAAAATAAAATGTCATCAGCATCAAAAGAAGGAATGTTAAGTTTGAGATTAATCCAGTTTCTGGTGTCTGACCAAAAACTTTGTATTGACATGAAAAAAATTGCTTGATCATCTTGTGATTTACAAAAGACACACAACATCAACATCAAATTTAAATCTTCTTTGCAGAAACATGGCTACAGGATATATCTTATTTATTATTTCAAAAAATGATTCTCCTTCACTTTAGGAGATTTAGGCCATTGGACAAATTTAGAATGAGCAGAAGTCATTCTGGTTTTACGATTTATACTGGGAGGTTTCTTGAACTAATCAGTAAATCCTTTGTCTCAAACATTCGTTGATCATCTTGTTGCATTTGAAGTCGACTAAGTTACAGTGATTTAATTTTAATGTGGGCATCAAATCGTCACCTTTGAATATATAATATTTTTAGTTCATTGAATCAGCTGTTGGTCAGGTTACTTCTTGTTGTGCCATTAGCTCTAAAACAGTTACTGAATCAAGTGTTTACTTCCATCCATCCGTGGGGGTAGCAGCCTAAGTGGGGAGGCCCAGACTTCCCTCTCCCCAGACACTTGGACCAGCTCCTCCAGGGGAATCCCAAGGCGTTCCCAGTGTTTACTTATGTAAGTAAAACTAGATGTTAAACAACCATTAGAATACACCAGAATGCAGGAAATGGCATCTACTTTATTCAAAATTTTCTGGGGGAGGACCCCCAGGCCCCCCATCACTGTGTCCTCCCCATTATAAATGCTTCTGACACCAGTGGCCAACACGTTACTAAACAAGTACACATATGGTGTCGTGTGGTGTTCAAAGTGCGTTCAACTTAATTCAGTCTTGATGATTTGTGTCAATGAGCATTTGGAGTTTTATACACAAAAATAAACTTGATAGTTAGAATTTTAAGTATATTTACTGTATATTATGGTAATTTATTCTGTATTTTGCCAGATTATGGTGATTCTGGGGTGGTGATGATGGGGCCCTTGAAGATTGTTGCCCAGGGTACAGCAAAGTGTTAATCTGGCCCTGACTCTATGACATAGTTATGTTTCTTTCCCCACTTTATTAGACATATTTGGACTGATGCGACTTATAGGGCGGTGCGGCGTCTACAGCAGAAAATATGGTACTTATTTTAAGAAACGTGCACACATTGTTGACCAGTCTATTTGAAAACAAGCAATATGTCATGGTTATGATTTAGTAAAATGTGAAAGCTTGGACACATTTAAAAAATAAAAAATAAAATCCTGAAACATCAAACCTGTAAATCCACAGATGTCACCTCCCTTCAATGACAAACAAGGAGGCCTTAACATCTCTCTATCTATCTGTTCATTTATTTTATCAGTTGTATACTTTATTTGTGAATGTGAGACAGAAAAAATGAAGCATTTTATTAGATTTAGGAGCTCAAAAGGCACAGAAAGACACATTACAGAGACAACATTGCACCCGTTTTTGTTTCAGGTTACCTTGTAGGGACCAATTTTACAAAAAATCATGCATTGTGGCAACCAGCTGCTTTTTATGGGGACCAAAGCCTGGTCCCCATGAGGAGAAGTCTTGTTGGGGGGTTAGGTTTAGGACTAAGGTGTGAATTGTGCATGGGTTAGGGTTGGGCATGTACTAGTAATGGTTAGGTTTAGGGTAAGGGTCAGGGCTGAACTATAAAAAATGAATTGAAGTCAATGCAAAGTCCCCAAAAAGTACGTCTACAAGAACGTGTGTGTGTATTGCAACGTTATTGTTTTGTCTACAGTGACACGTTTTCTTCATATTAATATTTATTTTACTATAAATCAGTGCAACGTTGTCAAAAATTTAACCTCTATATTTCCAAGACTCGTACAATAAATTATTTTTCCTGATTTCTTTCAGCTGTGCAAAGTATATTAAAACTGATATATCAGACCATTATTAGGAATTTGATGGCTTAAAAACATTTAGATAAGTTAGTTTACAACATGCAAAGTTTAAATAAGGGGGCTAAGCAATACATCCCAATATAAATAATTACATCTGTTTTTTACCTTATTTGTCTATTTGTCTAAAATAGTGACATCATTGTGCAAAACAAAACGGCTCTTGCTGTGTTGGTCTTGTCCTCCTCATTTGCGTTTGGACTCGATGGCCTTAATAAGAGGGACCCAGCGAGACGTGCTGCGGCCTCTGATTTTGCTCTGACCCAGACTGGGCCACAGGCTGCCTCTGACGTTCACCGGGCCGTCGTACTCGTCGGCCTCGGAGGAGATCTCCATCTTCTGGATGATGAGCTTCAGGAGGTTGTGCTGTTTCTCCAGAATGCTCGACATCTCTTTCATTCTGCAGAGGATACACTTCAGCTCAGTTACCTTGGATTTACAGTCCTGACAGGTGATTAGATGTTTATGCATAGTGGGTGAACGTTCCTAATCTAGAAAGTGAATGATCACTAGGGGGTGCTCATACATAAAAATTCCTATACAAATATTCCACCATTGCAATTTACTGACTGGAATCATCAATTTAAAATTTTTTTTTTTTTCTTTCTTACAGCTGAGCTTGCTTGGTTTTATGTTCCCATAAATTATTAAAAATGAACAGTTCTGCAGTTACAAATAATTTACCTGGATTTTTGTTTCTTAAGCTCGTTCTCTATTAAAGTGCATGCCTGCGATTTGGACTGCACACGACTCCACACTTCATTTTTTTCCTCCTCACCTGAGAGGAATTGTTGCAGGAAGTGCTGCAACAACAATGCAAATAAATTTTGATGGAACATTGACACAAGTTTATATATATGTATATATATATATTGGATAATATTTTAAGTAGACACTGAATATACCTTGGAGCACTTGCGGTTGGGGTAGATGATGACTGAAGGTTTGTCGACTCGTTTCATTAACCAGTAGGGGAGCTTATCTTCCAGAGCAGTGTGGAGATCAATCTGAGATCAGAAAAAGACAGAAATTTACTCCGAGGTCAAATTCCTTAGTTCTATATTTTTTTAAATAAACAAATGTGAAATGGTCTGTACTTATATTGCATCTTTCTGTCTTACTGAGATACTCAAAGCACTTTACAACACAATCTGCGTCCTCATTTACCCATCCATGCACTCTAATAGATCTCTACAAAGACTAATCAGAGCTTTATCACATTTATACACTGATGGGACACACATCAGAGGCAATGAGGGGTTCAATGTCTTTCCCAGGGACACTTGGGCATGTGACTGCTGGTAGAATTGAACCCCCATCTCTTTCATTGGAGGACGACTGCTCTAACCACTCAGCCGCAGCTGCCCATGAAGGTAACCATTCTCAGACACATCTGCCACATTAGTTCTGCCGAATCGCTAGGATGAATTTGAACCTAATAAAGCAGAATATCAAGTTTCTTTGAAGTTTGTTTGAACGGCGTTCATTACCGTATTTTTCGGACTATCAATGAACGGGTTTGCTTTCTTACATGAGTCGCGTTAAGCAAAACAAAACAGTCAGATAAGTCAAACTTTATTCCGCGCGTTCAAAATAATGCTCAACATTGTTCAGATGTAACATAAAATACAAAACAATACACATTTTTGAGCGCCGTGTACCACATAAAATTGGTTCCAGGTCAGTAAGCACAGCCAGAATTAATACAAAAGGCGCACCAGATTATAAAGCTCACTGTAGATTTTTGAGAAAATTAAAGGATTTTAAGTGCCTTATAGTTCGAAAAATACAGTAAATCATCATCTGCCACAAACGGTGTCACCTGAGCATGATCCCAAAAACCAGTGAAAAGGTAGAACTACACAGAAATACATTTATGTTTGTGATTTCGATCATTGGTCCTTGTCTTGTTGTGTTTAAGGTGCCACAATGACAGACAGGGCTGACACGGAGGGCGTGAAAGGTTTCCGGCTAATTATTCTTACAGTTCTTACCTGCATGGCTATTCGCTTTAGGGATGCATTTCTTTGGACTTCAGCAATGTCTCCAACTGCCAAACCGATCTACAACATAGAAACCACATCCATATAGTCAACTCTCCTGATTCCACAAATTGCAAAACTAGTAAACTGTTTGGAAAAACGCCAATTAAACAATTGAAACATGGAGAACGATCCATAAGGCGATATATTAGAAATATTAGCATTTATTTATTTTCTTTCGGCTGCTCCCTTCTTCTGGAGTCGCCACCGCGAACTAACGCATGAAGTTTTGCCAATTGTTTTTACGCCGCATGTCCTTCCTGACGCAACCACAGAGCTACCACAGCCCTTTGTGTGGAGCAGAGGGCGCCCGGGGAGGCAGATGGTGGGAGTTGGGTGCCCATAGTGCGGAAAATGAGGGTGGAGACAGGTGTGGGTGCTTCCCCTTTCCTACCCACATTTTCATGTTGCTGGGTCGAGCAACTTTCTGATCACAGGCGCACCTTCTCTAAACTCTGCGCCACCATCCCCCCAGTTTTGAACAGGTGTGTTATAATTAAAATGCTGTAGATTGGGCATTGTGCAGTCCAGGTCTATTCTATTCTGTTCCTGTGCTTCAGAGCACTCTTAAAAATCCAAACCACAACCCTTTGTTTGTGGGTCCTTTAAGTTACAAATGATACCATTCAGTGACCCATAAAACTCAAACGAAACCAAGAGGGATGAGCTATTAGCCAAGCTCAGCGTTTAAAGAGCCTGTGTGTCATGGAAGAGTTATGACACGGCCGCAAAAGGTGCATTAGCTGGTCCTGGCTGGGCAAAACATCATTTTATTGTTTGGGTTTGCGGTGGGGTGCTTTAATAACCTGAGCCAGTTTAATGTAAGACTTTTGTTGAAATTGTGCCTAAAATATTGATCATAGCCAACTATATGGCCAAACAACAAATGGGGGATTGTAAGTAATGTAAGTAATTAGGGCTGCACATTATATTAAAATTGTACCCATATTGCAGTATAAATGTGTGCTATATTGATATTACAAAGGTTCCAGTAAATGGCAGAGACAAACTACAAGATGAAAGTATTTATCTGACAATCAGATGGACTCCTATGCCCCTAAACACTCCCATATAAAGTGTTGTGAGCATCATGATGACAGAACATGAGGATTTTTTGCTATATTTAACAATAATATTGTATGTAGGCTGGTCACGATAACAAATTTTGCTGGTCGATTAATTGTCTCAGAAATTATTATTGCGATATACGATAATATTGTTTGAAATTGGACAATAATTAGTAATTATTGTCAAATTTAAGAAGAAATGTTGGTTAATTTGTTTTGCATGTAGTACCATTTTTCAACCACTGGATGGCAGTATAAGACTGTTTGAACCAAAGGATGGATAGTGAGTGAGCGAACAGCATGTCTCTAAGAAAACTGGGAGGGAGGCCCCTTGACGTGACATGGGCTGCCTCTCTTCGGTTCTCAAAATGGCGGACGCTCGGTGTGGTTTGAGCTCCTTAGCATAGCATTTTTCACACAAAGCTTTTAATAAAAAAATAAAAAAAATCAGTAAACAAGTTCTCAGCTTCTTTTTGCAGAGAAAAACAACTTTTTGCACGAAGGCACGAGTTTCAACCGAGAATTTTGTAGCTCGACGAGATGTTTTTTCCTGAGGTCGGCCTGTTAGCTTAGCTCGTAGCTTAGCTTCTCAGCTTAGCTGCTTTTAACGATCCAAAAACGCAAATGTGGACGTTTAAAATGGATTTTAAAGAGAAAGGGAGGGGTCAGTGAAGAGCACTGGAGTTGAACCTTGTCATCCAGTGTCTTCAGTAGAAAGAAAGACAAATAAACGATAAAGCCGATAAATGAAAATAAGGTAGATAATTTTCATTCATTATGTTGATAATTGACTTATTGTTTATTGCGACAGGCCTATTTGTATGTTTTTCCAATGTTGTGCAGCCTATTGTTGATGATTTGCTGAGTGCTAGTCTGAGTTTGCTTAGCGGTATGTGCTAATTTGAGCTGCCAAGTTAGGCACTATGAACTCTTTCATGCATTAATGGAGTGTTTTGAAGGGAATTTAGGGCAAATGTATTTCTACATCTGTTTCTAAACAGTAAAACTTTTAACAGAAGAGAAAAACATAAAGATTAATTTCTCATTATGTGCCCCTAAAACCACCTACAATGAAAAGAGACCTAAATACAAGCTGTTTGCTGTTGTTTGACCAGATCATGTCACAGACATTGTACTGAAACTTCAGAATTCCTGTGAACATGTAAAAGAAAAGGACATGTTATATCTTATCCAGGAAGCTGAGCATGCTCCTGTGATGCTTACCATCAGATTTACCAACAAGATTGGCATGAGGAGAACAAACTGCACAAAAATGAAGTATGTCAGGATGCTGAAAGGAAGCCGATTGTTCAGGAAAGCTTCCAGGAAGTTGTTCTGGTAGTTCAGCTCCCCGACCATCATCACAAAGGTTTGTATCACCGAAAGCGGCACGCTCTTAAACTCTTTCTAATGACAAGAACAGAGAACGAAGTACTAAGAACAGGGAAACCTTTGTGACGTTCTTTTGTGTTGCTGATATTTTCTCTTACATGGTTCAGCATGAGAGCATAGAAGGCCAAGCTGAACGCCAGCATCAGGTACAAAAACAGCATCACGATTCGAAACAGTGTTTTCATGATCTCCCCAAACATAACAACATAGATGCCAACGCCTTCAAACCTGCGGGAAGAAAGGGATTCCTCTGACTCAGAAACCCTAAGAAGACATTGTGCTTAAGACGAGTGTTTAAATAAAAGCTTACCTTTGGAGATAAAGGAGAAATCCGATCCAGGAGTTTAAAACTGCCAGTGCTCCTGCTTGCCAGTGCAAAGAGCCCTCTGCATTGAGCATGAGGGGAATGATGAACAGCAGAGCAAAGATGGCTGAAGACCAGTCACACTGGTTGGAATAATCCCTGAAGTAACTCCAGCGCTTTTAAGTCACGAGAAAAGGCAAAACCCATAAATAAATAAAAACCAATAGGACAAACAAAAGAGCAAATGCACCCAGTCTGATGAGATGATAATGCATTGAAAAACAGTCAGTTTATCAAAGTTAGTGCTCAAGAATCCAACAAAGTTAAGTCAGGTCCTCTGGACCAGTTTCTTTTTTTGTTGTTGTTGTTGAAACATTTTGCTTTTTCATCCAAAGGACTTCATCAGTCCAAGAAGCCACAACAAACTCTGTCCCATAAGCAGCACACTCACATAGTGGGTTGACCAGTTTGCTGTTGATAATGGTTTCTGGAGTCGGCCCTCTTCCCCGTCAACGGGGTACTTTGTCGACTTTGATGTTTTGAACCACTTTGGCCATGGCTGCGTCAGACGAGTCAAAGGGGGAGAGGGTGGACTCCAGAAACCATCTTATCACCAGCAAACTGGTTGGCCCATTATGGGGCTGAGATTGTTGTGGCTCCTCGGAATGATCAAGTCTTTTGGAAGGGAGATGAAATGTTGCAACAATTCCCCCCCAGGAAATTTTTGAATAACGCAGATGTGATTTCCTGCATTTTGGAGTATTTTAACGGGTTGTTAAACATCTACGTGCTTGTAAACCCCAAGCATCGGCTCGCAGACCCCCCAGGGGTTTGGGGACCCCAGTTTGAAAACCACTGACTCAGAGGACCTGACTCAACATTGTTGAATCCCTGTTTATCTGCATCTTCTTACAAGTAAGTGTTGCTTCTAACCAAATGACTGAGCTGAAGGGTGACAATCTGACTGTGACCATTCAACGATTCCTGCAAGTCTGAATCCTAAAGCGTGCATCCATCACACAAGACTGCAAGTGCGCCCACAAAAACTCAACTCAACTAAAATGCTGCGCAACAGATTTATGGGCACGTTTCAGTGAATTATTGACAGTACCTGCTGTGATATCTGCACCACTTCTTTTGCTATTGAATAGATGTTCATGACCAAGACCATCACCATGCACAAGGACAAAAAGACACTTTGCTGTGAAAATGAGAACAATGGAAGAGTTTCATTCATTTAGGACACTATGGGATTATAATTGTCTTATAGTTTGGTCCTTTATACGGTGTTTGGCAAATTCGTTAAGGCAATTCACTGTTACCGTTCTGAAGGAGATGGGCACCATGATAATATCAGGCTCTCCTGTCTCTGTGGTGTTGGTGGAAGGTTTTAGAGTTACTATCAGGTGAGTTAGAGGCATCAACCCTAACAGGTAAAAAAACATGTTGAGCATGTGAGCCTTGCTCCCATAAGCAACCCTGCGAAAAGAAAAAACGAGACAAATTTGAAATTCACACCAAAGTCTGTCAGTCTTAGAGATTTAATAAAAGATGAGATCGTCTAGAGTTATCACGAATACACACCACTTCATAGCCAAATACTTTTTGCAGACTGGGTGATTGAGGAGCTCGATCCGGTTGTACTGCACCATCGCCTGCAGAAAACGGGAGAAGACAAAAACGGGTGCAAACAAATTACATCTGATTTAAAACGTTTTGCTTTTGATGACGAATAGAGAGGCAAGTTGCACTTTTTAAAGAGTAGCTGAAGGAGGACATATTCTAAATTTGACATCTTAACATTGCTATAAAGGATTTATCTCTTTGTCACTGGTTGTTTAAATCAGCTTTTGGAGAGTTATGCAATTTTCCAACAAAGTTCAGTCAGGTCATCTGGACGGTTTATTTTTTTGTTGAGACGTTTCGTCCTTTATCCAAAGGACTTCATCAGTCAGAGGAGTCACGACAAACTCAGTCCCATAAGCAGCAAACCAACATAGTGGTCCAACCGGTTTGCTGGTGATAAGATGGTTTCTGGGCACGCCCTCTCCCCCGTCTACTCCTCAGAGGCAGCCATGGTGGTTCAAAACATCAAAGTTCATGCTCAGTGTGCTGTTTGTGGGACTCAGTTTGTTGTGGCTCCTCTGACTGACTGATGAAGTCCTTTGGATGAAGGAGGAAACGTAAAAAACAAAACAAAAAAAAACCATCCAGATGACCTGACTGAACTTAGTTGGATTTTCTACCTGGATTATTGAGCATGAACTTTGATGTTATTTCATTTTATTTCACCATCTTGCACATGAAAAATAAAACTGTACTTCTAAAACGCAGAAAAATTATGAATCCAAAATCTGAAATTACCGCATCAAATTTATATTTGAGAGTGGAAACCAGTGCTTACATTGACTGCAGCTAGAGGCTGAACCTTATAGAGCGTATCTGTTAGCTTCTTTGATGAAATGGGAGCCTGGAGCCACCTGAAGTTGTATTCAATCTACACCAAACAAAGACTTTTTTTGTTAATTTCTCCTTTTACGGATTAATGCATTAACCGTGCAAGATAAAAATACATTACATGGTAGTCTGGACTGTTGTGGTCATCGTCGGACTCCCTCACACATCGGTCCAGCAGATGCTGCAGAACAAAGTGGGAAATCACAGTGACAAAGCTTTACGTTTGATCTCAGTCAAAACAGCAGAAAGAAAGGACTGCACAGAGTTTTGTGATTTTCTTATTTATATA